TCGGTGCTTCGCAGCTGGCGGAGTCCGCTGCCGGCAGCCCTTGCCGCTTCGAGGGGGGCGGCAGGGGAGGTAAGCGCGGGTGAGGGGGGGGAGGTCGGTCGGTCGGTCTTCTCTGCGCCGTGACTGGCGTGAGGAAGCTTCCCCTGCGTTATTGGTACGCCTCCTGTTATTTGCGGGGAAGTGGGTATAGAAGCCATTTGGTTAAATATTGCTGTTAAACGTTGTGGTTATTTAGCAGGTAGGTGCTACGTGTCGTCATGTAGATCCAACTAAAAGAGCCAGCGTATTTTGTCTTTAAAAAAAAAAATTCTTATATTTAAATGTAAACACTTGTTTTCTTCATCACGAGGATAACATCCCCACGAAAGCCATGCTTTCAGTGTATTTTTAAAAACGGTGGGGTTTTTTAAACTAAAAAATTTGTAGTGTTACTTAGTGCTGTGACGTATTCTTCATAATAGTTTTGCAGAATAATGCCTTTCTTTGCAGAGTTTGCTGTTGAAAATACCTTCACTGTTTAAAAAAAAAAGTTACACTCAACTTTTCATGTTGATGCGTGTTTTTAAAAAATGTGAAATTCCATTTCTTTTTCTTTCAATTTGCAGGTTAATAATTGTGGTCTTCAGCTGGTTATCCAGACCTCATCAATAACAGATAAAAGCAAACCAGTAATTATTACCTTTTCTTTAATAGTTATATTAATTAATGCAGTTCTATGGTACAGGCAAATTTGTATGCTTGTGGATAGGAACTGCCTTTTCAGTAGCAATATTTTGACTTTTAATATGATATCTTTTATATCTGATAGTCTTTTGGTAATTTATTTCATCCTATTAAAGATACACGAAGTAAAAAGAAGGGGATGTACTATAGTCTGCCATAAACTTTTATATATATCTGATTTCTTACACTTCCATCTGTACCTCTCTTCCTCCTGTAATTGCAGTACTCCTTATAAGGTGGGGGTTTTTTTCCTTTATTTAGTCAACTGTAGATGAATGGTCTGGTAACTTCCCTATTTTCATTTTGGTTTCCAGCACTGAAACTTGTCAGTCGTAGTATCTTAATAGAATGAATACTTTTTTTATTGTAGCAATTATTTGATTTTTTTTAAAGCATTTGCAGTTTCCTGAGAACTATCATTATTAGTAAGGTTATGTTTGTCTGTGTAAAGATGTTATTTGCATTTGGAAACTTTAACATTTGTCTTAAATATTGTATTACAGTTTGAATTCAGGATAAATAAAGAACAGTCATCTTTCCACAATAGACTTCTGCAGCATGATCTGGAAAAAAACTATTCAGGAAGGCAAGGTGATATTCGATAGGGTTTGGTTGGTTTGGTTTTTGTATCTCTTTATTAAGTGAACAGTAAAGAAAGACTGTATTATGATTAGAATATGCAAGAGTGACAGCTTTTCCTCATTGGCTACAGTAATTCAGTATAATTACTGCTGCATCATGTCCTGAACCTGCTATCCTTCTACTGCCTAGTGCAGATGTTTTTTTTCATCACTTTTTGCCCCTCATTCTGTCCATGGAATAGCATCTTTTCTTCTACCTACAAAGCCACTGTCTATCAAGTGCCCTACTATATCCTTTCCCTCAGAAGCCACACAAATCTGTACTGTAACATTTTCTTGGATGTTTAACATTTTAATGTATCTAGACAAAATTAGTTTCTAATTCAGAACACTGATATGAAGAGATAGTTTTCCTATTGTGCTTGTGTGCTTTTGGCTTTGAAAAGCAAGACATTTGGTGATATCACTGCTAACTGTGGTGAAGTCTGGAAGAGCCTTGAAACACAGCACTTCTTGTCACGCTGCTGCTGCTTGCCTGTCATAAAAACAGTGATTGGCTAGGATAGGAGATCAGTTTAATTATTATGGCAATTCTTTATTCATTCTGGTAAAAAATAAAGACCAACAGCTGTTCAGAATGGGTTGATTTTTAGGGATACTATAAAAAAAACTTATTATGGAGTAAATGTAAGTCTGCAGTTTGATTTTTGTTCCCCGCACAGGAGACCAAAGAGTATTAAGTCCATTGGTGCGTAATAAGCAGATATATCTTCCAGTACCATCCAGTCTGACAGAACTTTCTGGTTTGGAATTGAAGCAGAATACAGGTTCTTTATCAGGATTTGGTGAGACTTCTATTCACACACCAACAAAATCCAGATCCCGACAAAGCAGCCACAGTATTAGTTCACATGCTTCAGGTAACAGTGGAAACTTCTCAGTAGGCTTTTTGTTTGTTTGTTTTGTTTAACTGGGTGTCTTACTGAAAAGTTATGACCTGTAAGATATGCTGCTTCTGGCTGTCAGAATGTATGACTGAATAGCAAGTGTTGCCTACTGTTCCCGTTGGGTGTTAAGAGAGGTTAGTAGATCATTGCCAGAAAACCACTAGAAATATTTTCCAAAATATAATATAAGCATTTAAATACAGGCTTTTTATAAACCTTTCTTTTACAAAAGGGGAGTAATAGGGATTTTTCACAAATGTCTTTAGGAGGATGACATTAGAAGAAGTCACTGGACTGCCATCATGACATGTTTCAGACTGATTTTTAAGTCTCTGGTCTTATGTTTATTGGTTTAAAAAGCTGAGACACGACTAATTTAAGACTTTTGCAACAATGTTAATTGATTATTTTTGTTTTCTATTATTTTTTTTTCCTTCACAGCTGTTTTTTTTCCCCCACTTTGAAGGATACATAGAAAATGCTGGTTGTTATACTGGTTTGTTAGAGTAGCTAGTGATAAAATGTTAGAGTAGCACTGAAAAGATTTCAAATTAAACAACAAATCATTTAACTTATATAGGTATGTCTTCTAATGGCATATTGTAGACAACAATGAACTCACTCTCTATAGTAGTAAAGCAATTAATTGTCTTTGTTTATTGAATAATTTATGTTTTCCCCACTAACATATTTGATTTATTTGAAGGGAGGGGAAAGGGGGGGAGGTACAAACACATGGAAGTTGAGCCTGTATTCCTGTGGTAGTTTGCACGCACAATGATCTGTGTTTGACCAATATTTTTCAGTGGATCATTTTCCAAATAAGCCAAAGCTCGCAGAGCACATTTGTTGATTTATTTTGCAGGTATTTTTTAGTCATCCTCCTTCTTCCCCCTTATATTATCAAAATAGATAAAGATGAATAGCTTTGTAAATGTTTTAAAAGGCTGCCTGTTTCTTTCTTGATAATGGAGTGAAATATAATGCCAATGTTTACTAGGTATTGCATGTACTTACCTTTAAAATAATTTGCATTTGTTTGTGGCTCAGTGGGACTGTTTCAATGTTTTGGTGCTTTAGTTTCTAGTTCTATCGACATCTACTCGATCTGTGTCTTTAAAATCATCTTAAGTTAGATAATATCTTCTTTAAGTTCGGTTTCTGAAACTGTGAATCAATTGTACAACCTTACCTTAAAACATCATTGGGTAATTCTAATTAAAAACAAAAAAAAGGCACCTACAAAATGTCGGTTTACAACAAAATGTTGATAAAAATCTCTCAGAAACGAAACAAATGGATGTGCTTTGGAAAGAGGATGTAGAGGGATGTAGCTGTAAACAAAAAATGGCAGGAAAGAAAACTGATAACTTGAAGTGCTGAATGGAGGCAAAAAAGCCCTTTCATGTACCGTGTCTTTTCTTCTAATAAGAAAGAAAATTCTGTTTTTATTATCTGTAGTTAATTAAATGATTTTACAAAGAAGTAGCTCATATATTCTCTGTATGATTGTCTGATAGATAACACAAATTTTGGGAGCAGTTCATCAATAACATTTCCTGTATTGCAACGTACTGCTGAAGAAAAAATACTGAATTCTGATAGACTTACCCTGGAAAGGTGAGAAGGTTATGGAGCACACACACCATAGCTTGTGACTCTTGTGTCGATCATCTAAAGTGATGAATATCCTGGTAAAGCCTGTGGTCAACGGTATGAGTGGTGGGTTTGGTTTTGTTGGTTTTTGTGTATGTGCGTGTTTTTGAGAGAAGAACTGGTTCCCATAGGGAAGTTCTGTATGTGTGTCCTTACAATGAATATATCCATACAGCAGTCATCTAAAGCAGTTAGGGCTTTTCGTTGTAAACTGAGGAGCTATCTTAAGAGTCGAGTGCAAGGTCATGCACATAATCTAGAGAAAGACACTGTGTCTCTTATTAGTTCTAATCTGATACATTAACTGTAGAATGGTCTGTCTCTTTTTTTTTTTTTGTCCTTAACCAGGACCCAAAAAAAAAGTTTTATCTAGAGACATTTAATTGTAATTTTTTTTTTTTTTTTTTTTTTTTTTTTTCTGGGGTTAAGGTTCGTGTAGTCTAAAAAATTTTGTCAGGTCAGTAGGACTCTTTCTGGAATAATCCTAAACTAAGAATAACCATTTTCGGCATAATTTCCTATATTTTTTGCTTTTTGTATTAACACTTATTTCATGTATTTATATTTCAAATATAAAGTTCTATAAACCAAAGAAAAATTGCATAGACATAGAATGCTTTGAATTCTGATCTAAACAGGCTGCTTATGTGGTATCTGGTGGAAAAAAATAAAGAATTGGCAGGCTGTGTCTGTTGAAATTTAAATGCGGTCACAACACGAAACTCCTGTGTAGTTTCCATGTAACAAGCAAATCTCTGATTAAGAGGGCAGGCTTTCAGAGAATTCTGGAAGCACTTCTGCTATATTTTCATGCTAATTTTTTAATATTAAGGACTTACTGCCTTATTTGCAGAGTTTAATTAGCAAACCTAATTATCTTAGTATTACTTTAATCAAGATAATGTACTTTCCTTAGTTTAGTCAGAGTGGGCGAGTAGAAGGTGGATTACCAATTTGTTACTTACATGTGTGTGTTGTTTTGTTTCTTTTTCCTTCCAGGCAGAAACTGACAGTGTGCCCAGTTATCGATGGGGAAGATCATCTTCGCCTTTTGAATTTCCAACATAACTGTATAACCCGAATCCAAAATATTTCTAATCTGCAGCATCTTGTTTTCTTAGATTTATATGATAATCAAATAGAGGAAATAGGTGGGGTTTCAACTCTGAGATCACTAAGAGTCCTTTTGTTGGGAAAGAACAGGTAAAAATAATAAAACTAACTTCGAGCACCCTACTTCATGGTGTAGCAACTGTGATCTATCATTGTTTCTGTTACTTACAGAGTTTTCAGATTGTGATGTTGGGTGTGACACCAGTGAGCTGGTCCCTAACACTACCTAAGTGTTTGGGATTCCACTGAGGAAGCACATAGTTTTTGCTCGTAATATTCTTCAGAAACTTCCGTTCTTATGTAAATTTTAGCAACAGTTCTTAAGTATTTTACATGTTTCCATCTAATCTTCTGTTCTGATTGACTATTGAATACATGTTCTTAGATTTGTGTGACAGGTGGAATCTCTTTTCATATCATATAAAGTATTCATTGAGTCTTTATAACCTACAAAAAGTATTTCTGCCTGAGGTATTTAGCTGGGAAGAAATCAGACAGATTAGAATCATGGATTTTATTGCGTATTCATTGATTCTAATCTGTTGGGAGATATAACTTGCTAGTTGTATTACTCTCTAAAAATACAGTTCAAATCCTGTAGCCTTTAATTCTAATAATTTAATAGAAGTATCTGTGGAATTGCTCATACATCTAAGGATTGTGCTCTGTGGTTTTTTTTTTGTTTGTTTCCTTGTTTTCTTTATATTCAGTAACGGAAGAACTGGTAAACTTCTGTTATGTGCCGATTACAAAGAATGTATCTCCTAATTTAGCCTGTATTCAAAATTGACAACTTTCAATAGTGCAGTATGTTACTAGAGCTTATAGCTTTTATAGTAAAAATCTCACCCGTAGAAATTGATTTTGTTTATAACAAAATATTGGGGCATGGGAGTGATAAATTTAAGCTGCTTTAAGGAATTATTTTCCAAATTGTAACTACATTGAGTGCTGTATAGTTTGTCTACATAGAAGTATGGTTTGGAGGTAGTTAATGATTACAAGTTAGATGCAGTTGCTAGCAACTTGTTTTCAGCTTGATCTATATGTGATCTCTGATTATTCTTGAAGCAAATGCATAATACACATGATGTTTAATGTCACCAGCCAGTAGATGATGCTGTTGAGTATATAATCTAGGTTTGGAATCTGAGAAAATAGGACAGGACAGAAAGGTTTTAAGACACTTAAGTTGTACAGGGGGAGAAGAAATACTGGCACATCTAGAGAGTGATACTGTCTAGAAAGGGCCAGTGGCTTTCAGGTTTTTTTATTCTGTGTTCTAACAAACTCTCAAAAGCCTCTGTCACTATAGTCTTTCTTTAAACTGGTTTGGAATTAGCTGTTTGCCAATAATAACTTTTTTTATTATTATTATTTAGATATCTGGATAGGTTGGTTCTTGACTTTGTTTTCTAGTGGTGCAAATATTCCCTCCTTTTTCCTCTTCCTAGAAGAGCCACATGCATACTGCTGCTATTGCATTATTGGCAGTCAGAAAGGAAAGTGATAGTCTAAGGCATACTCATTCATTTCTTCTTTTTTTTTTTTTTTAACATGGTTCAGAACTTTGTTATTCTTATGTTACTCTTTGTGGGCAGGAACAAATTCCTAAGTTTTGTATTAGCTGGAAAATGAAAGATACCTTTTATCTAATATGAAAAATAATTTATGTCATAATTGAAATCTTGCAGAATAAAGAAGATCTCAAATCTGGAGAACCTAAAAAATCTTGATGTTTTAGATCTTCATGGAAATCAGGTACAGTACAATAACTTGATTCTTTACGTTCTTGTGTAGACATCATGCATTTCCTGTGTCTTTTACCGAACTATTGCTTTTTGAAAATTTGGCAGCAAATTTTGCAGCTTTTTGAATCTTGGTATCAAGTCTCTTGTACTTCCAGCATTGTACTTCTGAAAAGTTACAGTGATTAAAATGCTGAGTCAACTGAGTATAATAGCATACCTCCAGAATAGTGATCTAGCATAAGTAGTTGTGGTATCATTCAAGTAAAACAGTCTTAGAAGTCATAGAAGAATTTAAGATCCCATTGATTGTTGTGTTGTTTCTACTTACAAAACAAGATCCCTTACATATCTGTAGAAGAGTTAAATTTGTACAGAAAAAGCAGAACGGGTACAAGCTCTTGATTTATTTATGCTTCTGAATGGATTTAAGTCACTTGAAGTCTATTCAGTTTCCCCAATTTGAGACAAAGCAGTCATTTCTGTTTCAAGTGGTGCATAAAATTTTAGCTCTAGTACATGTAAGAGGAAGATACTTGTTCAATGGCTATGTCAGAAGCAGCATGGAATATTAAGGGCAAGCCGGATATACTATTCTTTTGTAAAATAAATTTAAAACATGTATGATACAAAATGTTCCATAATTGAGCTGTTTAAAACAACATATGGTAATTGTGACTTCATAAGAGCAATGTGTGAATTTTCTGGATTCCTGTTCTGACAGTTTTGATGCCTTGCTGATTCCTGTATGTGTGTATTCTTTATTATACAATTGCTTGACAGTGGGGAATAGGAATGCTTTTTTTAAAAAAAAAAAAAAAAAAAAAAAAAAAAAAAAAAGGCAAGGTAACACTATAATGAGTTATTGTTAAATTTGATGCAATAAGTTTGTGGCTTCTTGGAATAACATTAGTCCAGTAGTATGCATGTTGTATAGTGGCAGAGGCAGTATACAGATAATGACATTGACCTTGGAGTCCTGGAGCGACTATGTCTGGAGATGGCTGTTTGTGTAGTTATAATCCTTTTCTTACTGCTTTTGTAAGGTTGGGGGGAGTGGTATTTTTTTGCTAAAATTACTTGCAGACTAGACATGTAGCTGTGCCAGTCAGCACAAGTGGAGGAATTACTAATGGAAATGAAACATAGGTCATGCACAACTCTTAGAAATGATCATGAAGTAGATCTGATTTTTTTTCTTTTTTTTTATTTTTTTTTTTCTTCCCCTCCAAGTGTCTGTACAACTCCCTTTACGTTAATTAAAACTTTATTAGACGTTTTGGGCATAATGCCCAACTGGCTGCTGCTAGATCAGCTTCGTAATAATAGGCCTCCTTTGGTCCAGAGAATGTAACAATTATCCTGTATCAGGAGTTAAATATTAAATCTCTGGAGCATAATAAATGTTTTTGTTTTTCAGAAAGTTTTAATCAGAAATGTACATGTGAAGGGCACAAATGTTAGGAAATGGAACAAATTGGTTTCTGCTTTTTTTTTTGGTAGGTTTAATGTATTTTTCATGGAAACACCAAATAAAGACTGTGAACTTCTCTTCTATTAATAAATTATCTTCCTGTTCCTTTCCAGTTTAAAGATAGGCAAGTTTTCATATTAACATTCTTTTTTTTCCTGTCTTTGAGGAATTAAAATTTTAAAACACCAATCTGCCATACATATTATTAGTTATTTTTGAAGGTAGAAAGGAAGAAATGAAGAAGGGAAGAAATGCTGAGTTTGAGACGTATCAGCTTAGTGTACTAGTGTCTTGTTTTGAAGTTTGGGGTTTTTTTTCTTGTTTGCTTATTTAATCGTGAATGGGGGGGCTCTGTCTTTTAACTTTATTTAGATTTATGCAGCCTTTATTTAGGGCAGCCTTCTAGTCTATCTTAAATGATATTTCTTCCACATCGTAAATTTCCCAAGAACAGACTTCAGCCACAGAATTGGTTTTGAGAACTTCAAAATATGTGTTCCAATATTCCAGAACATAGCAATTTAAACAGCAGATCTGTAGAATTAAAAATGAAGTGTTGGTATATAGTTCAAAATGGTGGATTCTGATCATTGTTCTGTTGATATAATGTCCTTTCTCTAACATATACATGATTTTTTTTTAATTTGGTACAGATCAGTTAGAATCAAGAATACAGAAACAGAATACCCTGCTTGTCAGTTGTAATGAAAAATAGTAGAAAATAGGATTTGCTTTATCTTGATAAGCTCTTGATACATCTGTTTCCTTAGACTGCTTGTGGCGCTATCCTGCACCCAGTTCTCAGAGAAAAGTCAAAGCTGCAATAAATCTAGTTAGTTGTACTATTTGGAACCAGCGATGGGCAGGAATTTTCCTTTATCAGGATAGTTCTTATTTCAAATAAAAGGTGTAATGGCACTTTTGTGGTGTGCATCACTTACGTCGTCTTTTCTTACAACTATGAAAAAATGTAATTCACTTCTGGTGTGCAAAAGTGTCATTGACTGCCAGTGTAATATGAATATCTGTATGTATTGTGCGAATATGAGATTTCCTTTGGATATCATTTTCCGTTGCTTACTTCAGTAACTGTGAAACACACTGTATAGGTTACATAATGTTATAATCTTTTCAGTCATACTCTATTTCTTACACTTACAGATATTTTTATGGTACTTTTGTTTTCATTTTACATTCAAAGTTGTGTTTCTTACAGATGTGAGAAATTAAATAATGCTGTGTATATGGGAAACAGATATTCTTCATCCAGCACAAAACTTTAAGGCTATTGCCTAGAAAAGACAGCTGTCTGTGGTATCATCTATATCTTGTTGTCAGGAATATTTTCAGGATTTTCTGAATGTGATATTCCTGGGCCACAATGCAAAATTCATACTGTTAAAGGCACTACTCAGACTTGCACACTTGGTTTTGCATTTATTTTTTTATTGTATTAATTTAAAAAGGTGTTTTTGTGTTTTTGAAGAAAATGTCTGTAATTTTAATTACAATGACAGATTTTTATAATACGTTACTAGAAGGAGTTTTGATACCAAACTCTCCAGGAAGAAATAATAGATTCTTTCAAGAAAGCTATTGATATGCTAAGACTTGGATGCAAGTTTTGCTTGAATGCTGTCTGCTCAATGAGCAAATTGTTGTGTAGGCTGTAATTGACCTAAAACAGGGATGACACATAAAGGAGAATTGTCAGATGCTATGAAACAAGACAGCCTCACTCAATCCCTGGGAAAGTGATGGAACAAATAGTCCTGCAAACCATTTCCAAACATATTGCAGTAAGAAGACAACCAGGAGTAGTCACCATGAATTTATGTAGGAAATGGCTTTTTACAGCAAAGTGACAAGTGCAGTGGATGGGTAGAGCGCAGTGGATGTTTTTTTATCTTGAATTTAGGAAGTTATTTGACACTATCTCCCATTACATCTTTATAGACACTTAAATTTAATTTAATTTGGACTAGATAGAAGGACAGTGAGGTGAAATGACAGCTGGCTGGACTGCCAGGCTCAAAGGGTTGTGATCAGTGACACAAAGTCTAGCTAGAGGCCAGTCACTATCGTTGTACCCTAGAGGTTGATACTAGGTCAATACTTCTTAACACCTTCATTGATAACCTGCATTATTAACAATGCAGGAAATTGGAAGGAGGGCGTCATACATGAGATGGTTGTGCTGCCATTCAGTGGGACCTTGACAAGCTGGAGAAATGGGCTGAGAGAAATCTCATGAAGTTCAAGAAGGGGAAATGCAAAGTCTTGCATTTAGGGATGAATAACCCCCTGTACCAGTATGGGCTGGGTGCTCACCAGCGGAAAAGCAGCTTTGTAGTAAAGGACATGGAGGCTCTGGTGGACAACAGGCTGGCCATGTGCCAGCAGTGTGCCCAAATGGCAAAGAAAGCCAACAGCATCCTGGACTGCATTCGGAAGAGTGTTGCCAGCAGGTTGTGGGAGGTGATCCTTTGGGCTCCCTGGTGCAAAACAGACACGAACTTAAGGGGGTGAGTCCAGTGAAGAGGCACAAAGGTGATGAAGGGACTGGAGCATCTCTGATACGAGGAGAGGCTGAGAGCTGAGACTTGCTGTGCCTGGAGAAGAGAGGCCTCAGGGAGTTCTTACTGATGTATGTAGATAGCTAATGAGAGAGTCTAAATAAGATGGAGCCAGACTTAGTGGTGTCCAGCAAAAGGACAAGAATTATTGAGCATAAAATGAAATACAGGAAACTTGTTCAAACTTAAGAAAAATGTTATTGTCAGGGTGGCCGAACACTGGAGCAGGTTGCCCAGATAGGTGGTGAAATCTCCATCCCCAGAGGCGGTCTAAGCCTTACTGGCCATGCTCCTGGGCAGCATGCTGTAGCTGACCCTGCTTTGAGCAGGGGGTCGGAAGGGACGATCTCCAGAGGTCCCTTCTGACCTCAGCTGATGATCTGTTTCTGTGGCTAGGGTTACTTTAGATTAAATTTGCCATCTTTTCTTTTCCTATTTTCCCTTTTTAGTGGTAGGGGAAATAGAAGAAAATAGTAGAGAAGAATAATTTACTTGGATACTAGTAAAGTGACAATTTTTTATTGCAAAAATGTCCCCTGTAAAGCCATGAAAAACCTCTGTTGGGCGAATGTGGCAGTTCATTGAGCTGTAGTGCACTGAATCAATGTCCTATTACAGTACTCATTGAAAGGCACTTTGTATTTGGGGTTAAGGTAGGAGTGTTTCTGTGGTTTTCATGTTTGTAAGTCCCACACATTTGATGAAATTATGCATCAATTCTGTTCTTCTTTAGAGCTCTTTCCATGCAGTTTGCACTGATTTTGTCTATTCATCAATACTGTTACTGCTTGAGAGTAAGTTTGATGTGGCTTTACAGAGTATTTTGGCGATTTATTTGTTGAGAAATAAGGCAGTTGAATTTTCTTGAAATTTGTTGACTTGTCTGTTTATTTTTACAGAGTCACCCTCTGTGGTTCATATTTATACATGTATTAGAACAGTAATCTATTTTACAGCTTTTTGTATTCTTTGTATTAATGTATATAGCAGCTCTGTTTTGACTGGGGGTTTTGCCTTTTGAAGTTGCCACGCCTTAGTTAATAGAAGATGAGGACGCATAATTTTTTGTGGTAAAGACAGTTATATTAAGGGGAGAATATCTGGTGAGCAGCCTTCATCAGTGTAGAGGATTAGCTGAATATTTGCCTCTTGCATACAGTTTACTTGAGACATGAGTTAACTTGCATTCAATGATTCTGGTATCACCAGCTTTCCTCTGTAGTCAGACAGACGATTCCAGAAAGTGGTTTAACATGTTCGTTAGACTCCAGTAGATGAGGAGAGTCATGTAAGTAAAATGCTACTATTTAAATGATATTGCCTGGCAACAATAACATTATTACTACAGTATACTATGGAATATAAATTGTTGCAGTAGTATTACTACTTCTGAGTTATGATACAGAACAGAGCTTTTCCATAGTCTTTGTTTTTATGGTTTGGCTACTCCGATGTCATTAAATAAACCCCATAAAATTCAGTGTAGCAAGTTATAGCAAAATCCAGTAAATCCTCTTGATGCTTTTTGGCAAGTAATTTTAACAGATTGACTCTTCAGTGACTGTGATATTACACAGTTCTTCCTGAGGACATTGAAGGTGCTCACATACCTGGCAAGAAAAAAAATATTATTCTTTTAACTACCATTTTTCCCCTTTATGGTTTGTATGTTATAGGGCACATTTAGAATAAAATAGTAAAATAACTTATGTGTAATATCCGTTACATAATATCTGACTAAATAGGTTTCATTCTTACTTCAGTAGTTTAACTTACTATAGGAATATTCTAAGGTGCTTGCAATAATTCAAATTTTTTTTGGTGTTCAAAGCTATTGTTAATAATGCGCAGTATCTCTTATATGTTACCTGTGATCCCAGATGATCATTGAACAATTAAATCTTGTATGAGTTATATTAAAGGTATTTGAAATGCATTAGACTAACAAAAAATGTTAACTTTTTCATTATACACAGTAGTTCTATATAAGGTAAGAAATCTCAGCACTCTCAATAGATGCAGAATATAAATACTTAAATGGGATATGGCCAGAATATGAATATTATTAATCTTATCTTTCAAAAATAGTGCTACAGCCTAGCTAGAAATTATTCATTTTTAATGTTTATGGAGTAGTGGCAGCTAAGAGGAAAGCTAGATTCCTGTTTCAGTCTTAGTCCCTCCCTCCCTCTCTTTTGGGGTGTAAATCAATCCCATAGATGGAATGCAGATTGTGAAACGTCTAAGACTGGAATGTTTCCAAGAGGTTGGAGGTGAGGAAAAACAGAAGGAGGAAAATTTAATTTTTGTTCACTTTTGGGAAAATATTTTGATTTATTTGGGTGCTGGGTGTTTTGGATAATGTAGTTTGGTCTGAACTTTGAGACTTCTTCCACCCAGGTGAGAAAAGTACTGGGAATTTCATGTGCTTTAAAACGTTGAGGTATAGTATTCCACAATGCTTAATGATAAACCTTGTATGATTTCTTTTTTTTTACAAATCAAGCCTTTTAAATGCATTACTAATTAAAGAAAATCCCTTCATAGAATAAATATCCAAAAGAAGGTTAAAAAAAAAATCAATTTAATGGCTAATGAAATACTGCACTCAATGCCTATGCTTTACAAAAAGGGCAAAATGTGAATTCCCCTGTCATATTATTACTCTTTGACTGTTTTCCCACATGATTTAGTAAGGCTCTTGATTTTAATACTGCCCAGTAAAAATTTGTAAGAAAATACAGCATCTTAATAACAATTAATTAAATTTTTATGTAGAGACTCTGTTTCTATGGTTATTAACACAGTAACGTTGACATACAATATACATCATTCAGAGACCCTGCACATGATTGTGTGGCTGGCATATTTAATGCACTACAACTTACATTTAATTTTGAACTTAACATTTGATTTCTAAATAGTGTTCTTCCAAGCACTCTGAATAGTCTATGGAGAGAAGTCTGATTGTTAGTCTGATACCACTATAAGTGGTATATGTTCCATGTAAATCTCTTTAAAACCCTTTTACTTTAGGTAAGGTTAAAATGGGCTTTAGTCTGTCTTCCAGTGAACTAATGCGTTAAAGTTGAGTCAGGTTGAACTCAAATTTCAGTCTAACTTTATTTAAAATGAAATTTATTCTATAATGCTTAAATTTTAAAAAGACATTGGAGTTATTTTTTGTGTTGTGTTTAATTCTGGGAATAATTTTCCTTGCCAAAAGTTCAAGTATATAAGTTCAGGCCTGAACTTCTTTTCAATGATCTCAGAAATGTGTGTTTAAAAGATGTAACTTTTGTGCAGTTTAATTATTGATGAGTGATTATGTGGTGCATAACAATCATTTCTGAAATAAATATTTTATAGCTGAGTATTCAGACATAGAAGCAAACGAGAATAGAATAGTGTTCTTGTTCAATGTTTACAAGTGAAGTCTTTGATGTATTTGAGAAAGCAACTAAAAAATGGTTAATAATCCTTCTTTATAATTAATAGAGAAGTCATAGATATTTCTTTTTAGAAAATATTATTTGAATCCTCTAAAAAGATGTGATAATGACTTGTATCTAATTTGCATCTAATAGTATGTACTAAAAGCTGGTCTATCTTTATGTGTGCATGCATAATTGAAACAGAGAAAATCCAGTAGAGTTAGCCTTAAAACTTAGTAAAGTGATAAAGAGTATCTCTATACACTGCTGATGAAATAATTACCTTTGCGATAGCAGTAAAATGCTAGGATTAATATTCCACATTGTGGCATGCTGTATTTTTAGCTAAGCAGACATCTGCAGAGGTCTGTGCTCTTTGTGCTAACCATCTGCTCTTGGCTTTGCTTTCACAAGTCTTTCTGTCTAAATATATTGTTCTAAATGGTGATATTTTCTGTTCCTTTTGCTGTAATGCTGTTGTATCCTGATAATTTTTATTTTCTGCATATTAATAGACATAAATGGATGATGCATAATAGTTTAATTAGCAGTTGAATCAAAAGTTGGTTTAAGATGTTACTTAATCTTTGTTTTGCTATCTACTTTTGTATGCTTTTGAATGGACAACTTGCTGAAATACTTTTTACAGCAGGTTATTCAAGTCGTATGTCATAGAATTACAGAAACATACATGCATGTACATATGTGTACATACGTGTGTATATATATGAAAATTACCAACAACATTGTGTTCTCAAACTTAAACAATAGCTACCTTGCCTCTTCTCCCATTCCAGGAGCTGCTAGACGCTTTCTGGAAACTGGTGCGGTCAGACTCATACTGGTCTAAAGCCTCAAAGTTCATTGTCACTGGGAAGGTGTGTGACACTAGTCACTATCTTGCTTGTCTGCATCTAAGTGTTGTTGGCAGCTTTGAGGAGGAATAGCGTGCCTGAATACAGGGTGTTGAAGGGAGCTCACAGTGGTCCAGCAGATGATCATTCTAATTGAAAGGCAATTCATTATACTTGTTAGGAGCTTTGTGCACTGTATCCACATGTTGTGGAAGGCTGAAGTGTTTTCCATGGGAAAATCTGCTGCCTTCTTTCTGCTATATAGCATGGGTTTCAGTAAGAGTATGGTAGGAATATCCCCCTGTGCAGTGGCAATACTTCGTCTTCTCCATGATATGTTGATGTATGCAAGTCCTGTGTAAATGTCTGGATAGATGCAGGAGAACAGATCCCAGACCACTATGAGAAATAAGTATCTGGATAGAGATTCTTGAGTGGATCACTCTGAGAAATGCAAACAGCAGGAAATGAACCCAGATTGTGTCAACAGAGCAATAATTAATGCCTTTGTAAAACATGGTTGCATTTCCAGAAGTCAAAAATAAAAATAAGGGGCAGTAGCTATTATTACTCTTTTGATGATTTTTTTTTTTTTTTTTGGTCAATATCACCTGAATCTTTAAAATAGGGTATTAAGTATAAAAACAAACCTTGGGCAGCTGCTTGTTTACTGTAGTTTCGTCGCTTTGTTTGATCCCTCCATTTTCTAATCACAGGAAGCCACGAGTTGCCGAAGAAGTGCTGGGAACTGTCAAGCAAACGTGCTGTGTATCCAAACTAAGGATGCTCCTGCTTTCTTTTCTAACTTTTGAGTATGTCTTTCTGATTCTAGCAATTACCTGCTTGTAAAACTTCCTTACAAGTTCCAATTTCAGAATAATTGCTTTCTTCTCCAGAGGGCTGTAACTGCTCCTTGCCCCTGACTCACAGCAGGTTCCTGTCCTCATGACCTGCTGCAAAGTCTGTCTGTGGAGCTCCTGTAGACAGAGTTGAGTGTGCTGCTACTGGCATTTTGAGAGGCATGAAGGGAAATTGGTGCAGAGTTCTGTGATGGCAGGGAGATACGATGCCGCATATTCTTGTAGCGTAGGTACCAGGAGATTTGGATGTGTGTTTGAGTGCCTTTGCAGACAAATTAAAGATCAATTGTACACAAAATTTCCCCATTTTGACATACAGTGATATCATCAGTGTTGTCTTAGTTTTATGGTATCTTAGAGGTTGCTGCTACAGAACAGCACAGCTAAAGTAACCTAATTTCTGATGGTAAGGAAGGAAGTGTTGACTGATTTTTATTGCAGTATGACTAGAAAGGTACTAGTGAAGTGAATACTAGTACTTGATCTCTATCAGACTGTAGCTTGTTTTCAGCAATTTATGACATGATTATCATGGTTTAGAAAAATACACAAGAAGCACACTATTGTATTAAGTTGATCATGTATACTTTTTTAAAAAAGTATGTGCCACATACATCTATTGTATATCTATATAAAACACAGTATGCGTGTTAATAATTATACATCTTTCACAGATTACTAAAATAGAAAACATCAGTCATTTGAGTGAACTGAGAGTGTTAAACCTTGCCAGAAACCTACTAACCATTGTAGAAAACCTTAATGGACTGGATTCGCTCACAGAGCTCAACCTTCGTCATAATCAAGTCTCTGCTATAGTAAGGAACTAAACTCTTGTCTTTTCTCTTTTCCTTTTCTTTTTTTTCCTTTTGTTTTTAACAAAATGCACTATTACTGTAACTTGTTTAAACCATATAAGCATTTCAAATTTGTGATATCTTCTGTTTTCACGTACTGTGTTGCTTATGTTCTGCTGCAATACTTACTTTTACAACGTAAAGGTGAAACAAGCAGCGATTTATATTTGGTGTTATTTTGTTTAAATGCGATCACTTGTAGTGATTCAAATTCTTGATAGCTCGTGATGGTTCTCGGGGCGGGGGGATATTCTGAGGAAGCTTTGTGGTTCTAACATACAAATTTAGATAGTTTTCTTCCATACAAGTTTGTTTCCTAGAAACAAACCCTCTCAATTTTTGTAGCTCAGCTAAACAGTCTCAGACCATCTTAAATTTCATCTCCTTATGAATATTTCTAGGGCAAATGCAGAGAAAATAGGTGTTGATCTTAAAAGCAGAATTTCCCAATTGGAGCTTTAACCTAGCATTGTAAGTCTTCATGTTCTAAAAAATAAAGCTTTTCACTTTGCAATTTGAGCTGTAGTTCAGGTATGGCAAGTAGATTATTTGAACAAGCGCTTTTTAAAATAATACAAGAAGTCTACTTAAATAGCTATATTTTTCTGTCTCTCATAATTTCTTTAGTTCTTGGTCTCCTATTGCTGTGCCGAGCCTTTCCTTTCTTGAATTCTGCTATTTGCCGTATATGAATTGTTTTTACACTTCAAAAATAAATTTCTGCTCACTGCTGATTCTGTTACTGTACCTTCCCCCTACATCAGTTATGTTACCTAGGATTCTCTTCCCTTGCTTGTAGCTGCTGCCTTTTCACTCCTCAGGTGTAGCTTGTACTTTCTCCTTGCTTCCTGTTGTCACAAATGGAGAGTTAGCATGAAATTTATATTAGTGAGTTACAGGCTTGGTCTCTGTGCTGTATCTCAATGTTTTAGTCTTTTATGGCCAGAGACAGTGTTTCAGAAGACAATGTTCTGTTCAGGGAAGTACTTTATTTTGTCTAATTGTTTATTGGTTTTTTTGTGGTTTTTTTTTAACCCTGGTTAAGTTCTAATGGCCTGGTTTTGGGGCATGGGGTGGGTGTTTATTTTGTTGTTAATTGGATTGTGATTTTCGCAAGTATGACACTAACTCTCCTTCCTCTAGAGAAGGACTCCTAAGCCACATAAAGTCAAGTCTTGGACATGTCATACTGTCTGAAACCTAAAGTAAATATATGTCTCTTTCCTAAAATAAAATCTTTTTCTTTTTTAATGATAGGTGTTGTCTTTATCTGTGTATGCAACAGTGTATATGTATTTCTTTACTTAAATTTGTTTCAGTTTTTTTGAAAAAAAATGAAAGCTGCATTACTTTAGTATGGAAATTCAGAATCTGCTGCAATATGAAATTACTGCAAATCCAGAAACATAGAAATAAATATATCATTTTATGGAAAGAATATCCAAGATATTGTTATATTGTTGCTGGAGTACTTGAGTAGTTGAGGGAGGGGGTTTAGATTTCTTTCCTTTAAGTTGAGGTTTAGGTTTTCTTATGGTTGACTGGGGGGTGGGTGTCATTTTAATCATGATATAGTTATGATGTAGCACTTAACTGTGAAATTTTCAATCTAAGTTCATTAAAAGAGTTTGGTTTATGTGTTTTAGGTTTTGGACTGTGTTTTAGGTAGTTACTATGACAACACTATCATTATAAATAAAGCTTTTAAAACTTGATTATTCCTTTAAATGAAAGAATCTAACTGATTAAAAAAAATTGCCATCCCAAAATAATGAAATAAAATCAATAAAATTTAAATAACTTTCTCTTTCAGTACACTTTTTGTGAACCTTCCTTATTTTTCAACTCCTCTGCTCCCCCTCCGCACCTGCTGTAAGTGTATTATTCTTGTGTAGGAAAGATGATACTCTCATTTGTCAAAATGAGGTTCCATACTGAACTCCATACCCATTGCAGTTAACTATATTGAGTAATCCAAGTTATCCAACTAGATTATTGTTTGAGCAATGAAACATATAATCATCTCTTACAATCCACTGGCCTTAGATTAGTAATTTTGGGACCATTTTTTGGCTTTAAGGTATTCATTAGAGACTGGAAATCGTTGTATCTTGAGAGTAGTTATTTTTGTAAGAATAAACTGTAGTTCGTCCAAAGGTGTAGGATTTAGAAGGGCAGTCCTGAGGCTTGGTTTATAGCAGAAATGTATCTTACAGGATTGAAAGTGTCTTCAAGAAGTCTGACTATTCTAAAGAATAGCAAGCAGACAGAATAAATGATTACAGAGTGTCTCGTATGGCATTAAAAGCACAAGTCTATGCATACAATGAATTATGGAATGTCTGTTTGCTTTCCATCCAGTTGTGAATTAAGGTCCGCTGTTAGGAAGATGAAGTATATTTTTATTTGAAAGATGGACCTGCTTGATTGCTTTGAGGTATTAAAAGCTTAGAATCTTGGGGTTTGTCATCTGCAGCTTGATTGTAGACTTGAAGGAGGACTGGTCAAGGTGTTCACTATCTTTTCACAAAAGAACTCCTGTCCTGTTTGTCCACTGCCCTATATGACTTTGTATCAAAACTGAATTAGCTGGACACTTTAGTTGTTTTTAATCCTACTTAAGGTGTTTGCTGTCATGCCTGTGAGACTTAAACATACTTTACAGGACAGCAGCATACTGTGCCAGTTATGGAAATTTGTCTTCAGGGCAAATTACTTTGTATTCTTCAATGCAAAACTCTTTAATTAGTTAAAATCATCGCTGCTTAAGAATTACTGTGTACAACCCTATAATGCCTGTCTTCATGTGTATATCTGCCTGTATCATGTGACCCACCTCTTTAAGCATCAAGCTAAGTAGCCTTAGGGACAGAGCGGGGTCCAGGTAGAATTCTGTTCTGAACTCAGTCTTTCCGTGGTCTGATCTGGGAGGATTCAGAACCAGGAGTTTTGCAACTCAGACCTGAGCTAATAAGCCCTGCTTTATTGTATGCAGTGCTTGCTAGCTCACATGAAGTGTTTCAGTAATAGCAGCTACATGGTTTGTGTAGAGCTGCCTTGTGTTCACCTGTTTGGTTAGAATGAACTATTTCTGTTTCTGGAATGCTATGTAGACATGCCACAAATCAGATGGAGAGAGGGAGGGCAGTGGATTTGATTTTTTTTTTTTTTTTTTTTTTTTTTGGGTGTAAA